CGTTCTATAATTTTGTATGACGAGTAGTAGTAGTAGCCGTAGTAGTAGTCGTAGTAGTAGAAATAATAATAGTAGTAGTAGTAGTCGTCGTCGTCGTCGTGGTTGTCGTCGTCGTCGTCGTCGTAGTGTAGTAGTGTAGTACTAGTAGTAATAGCAGTCGTAGTAGTACTAATAGTTGTAGTCCCAATCGTAGTTGTAGTCGTCGTCGCCGTCGTCGTAGTAGGAGTAGTAGTAGTAGTAGTAGTAGTAGTAGTAGTAGTTGTAGTAGTAGTAGTAGTAGTAGTAGTAGTAGTAGTAGTACTAGTCGTAGAAGTAGTAGGGAGTAGTGGTTGTAGTAGTAGTAGTAGTAGTAGTATAGTAGTAGTAGTAGTAGTAGTAGGAGTAGTAGCTCAGTAGCAGTGTAATGGTAGTCCTAGTAGTAGCCGTAGTCGTAAGTCCGTAGTCGTCGTAAGTAGTAGTAAGATATTAGTAGTAGGAAGTAGTAGTAGTAATAGTAGTAGTCGTAGTAGTAGTAGTAGTAGTAGGTAGTAGTAGTCGTAGTAGTAGTAGTAGTAGTGTCGTATCGTAGTTCGTAGTGTAGTAAGTAGTCGAGTAGTAGTAGTAGTAGTAGTAGTAGTAGAAGTAGTAGTAGTAGTAGTAGTAGTAGTAGTAGTAGTAGTAATAGTCGTTGGAGTACTGGTCCTAGTAATAGTAGTCGTAGTAGTAGCAGCAGTAGTAGTAGTAGTAGTAGTCGTCGTCGTCGTCGTCGTCGTCGTTCTAGTAGACCTAGTAGTAGTAGTAGTAGTAGTAGTAGTAGTAGTAGTAGCAGTAGTAGTAGTAGTAGTTCTAGTAGTAGTAGTAGTAGTAGTAGTAGTAGTAGTAGTAGTAGTAGTAGTAGTAGTAGTAGTAGTAGTAGTAGTAGTAGTAGTCGTAGTAGTATAGTATAGTTAGTAGTAGTAGTAGTAGTAGTAGTAGTAGTAGTAGTAGTAGTAGTAGTAGTAGTAGTACTATTAGTAGTAGTAATAGTAGTAGTATAGTAGTAGTAGTCGTAGTAGTAGTAGTAGTAGTAGTAGTAGTAGTAGTAGTAGTAGTAGTAGTAGTAGTAGTAGCAGTAGCAGTAGCAGTAGCAGTAGTAGTAGTAGTAGTAGTAGTAGTAGTAGTAGTAGTAGTAGTAGTAGTAGTAGTAGTAGTAGTAGTAGTAGTAGTAGTAGTAGTAGTAGTAGTAGTAGTAGTAGTAGTAGTAGTAGTAGTAGTAGTAGTAGTAGTAGTAGTAGTAGTAGTAGTGGTAGTGGTGGTGGTGGTGGTGGTGGTGGTAGTAGTTGTAATTGTAGCAGGAGAATTAGTTTCTTGGGTGATTGGCGGCTTTTGCGGGCGGTACCGCCCGTTGCCGCCATCGCCGTCGCTGTCGCCGTCGCCGCCGCTCGGGGCGAGTGGTGGTTTTTGCGGGCGGTGCCGCCCGTCGTCGCCGTCGCCGTCGCCGTCGCTGCCGTTCGGGGCGAGTGGCGGCGTTTGCGGGCGGTGCCGCCCGTCGCCGCCGTCGCCGTCGCCTAGATTGCACCACGTAGATTGCATCACATAGATTGCGCCGCGTACGTTGCATTACGTAGGTTGCAGCGTGTAGATTTTCCTTTCTCAAAGAAGAATGGATTCTTCCCCCCCTGGGAATTCACGGATCACCTGTTTGTATTGCAATTCACATATCATTCTCCCCCATCGTCCATCCTAAGTATGAGCCATATTCCCAGCCATACCGGTATCGCCCCCCCCCCCCGCCATGCTCTGCAACATATACTATGCGCGCACTCTCGTTTTTCAAAAATCACAAGTTTTCAAGAAAAACAACTTGACGAAGTGCACACGCGCGCGTTGTCGCGCGCGCAAAAACTGTCGAGCTCGGAAGGATTTCAAAATCGAGTTTCCAAGACACATATAAACACACAGGGTTTCGCAACACTGATTTGCTAATTATCCTTGCGAAGGTCGCAACCATATGCAGTTGTGGGTACCGTAATTGTGAATATCTGCTTCGGTGAAGCTCCCTATGGGGCCACGAAGCGCTGCACTGGGCGGGGCGGAGCGCTGTCCTGTGTGGGTGGTGTGCCGAATTGGGTTTCCGGGACGCATGCGGACGGTCCCACTGCGGGCTTCGGTGGAGCTCCCTATGGGGCCACGAAGCGCTCTACTGAGTGAGTGAAAATGCCAAATTGGGTTTCTGCGGGCCTTGGGTGGAGCCCCCTATGGGGCCACGAAGCGCTGCACTGCGCGGGTGAAAATACCAAATGACATTTCCCGGACGCATACGTGGAGCCCCCTATGGGGCCACGAAGCGCTGCACTGGGTGGGTGAAAATGCCAAATTGGGCTTCCGGGACGCATGCGGACGGGGGCACTAGGGCCTTCGGAGGAGCTCCCTGTGGGGTCACGAAACGCTGTACTGGGTGTGCGGGACGCATGCGGACGGTAGCGCTGGGACCTTCGGTAGGGCTCCCTATGGGGCCACGAAGCGCTGTACTGAGTGTGCGGGACGCATGTGGACGGTAGCACTGGGACCTTCGGTGGGGCTCTGTATGGGGCCACGAAGCGCTGTACTGGGTGGGTGGAACGGAGGAGGGGGAAGGAGGGCCACGAAATGCTGCACTGGGTGTGCGGGACGCATGCGGAAGGTAGCACTGAGACCTTGGGTGGGGCTGCCTATGGGGCCACGAGGCGCTGTATTGGGTGTGCGGGACGCATGCGGACGGTAGCATTGGGACCTTCGGTGGGGCTCCCTATGGGGCCACGAAGCGCTGTACTGGTTTTGCGGGACGCATGCAGACGGTAGCACTGGGACCTTCGGTGGGGCTCCCTATGGGGTCACGAAGCGCTGTAATGGGTGGGTGAAACGGAGGGAGGAGGGGAAGGAGGGCCACGAAACGCTGTACTGGGTGTGCGGGACGCATGCGGACGGTAGCGCTGAGACCTTGGGTGGCGGGACGCATGCGGACGGTAGCACTGGGACCTTCGGTGGGGCTCCCTATGGGGTCACGAAACGCTGTACTGGGTTTGCGGGGCGCATTCGGACGGTAGCACTGGGACCTTCGGTGGGGCTCCCTATGGGGCCACGAAGCGCTGTACTGGGTGTGTGAAACGCAGGGAGGAGGGGGAGGAGGGCCACGAAACGGTGTACTGGGTGTGCGGGACGCATGCGGACGGTAGCACTGGGACCGTAGGTGGGGCTCCCTGATATGGGGCCACGAAACGTTGTACTGGGTGGATGAAACGCAAGGAGAAAGGGGAGGAGGGAGGAGGGAGGAGGAGGGAGGAGTGCGAGGAGGAGAAAGAGGAGGAGGAGGAGGAGCAGGAGGAGGAGGAGGAGGAGGAGAAGGAGGAGGAGGAGGAGGAGGAGAGGAGAGGAGAACGCGGGGCGACGTCTCTTCAAAACGAGGACCCAACACCACAGGATGGTTGGGTAAAAACTTACGCGCGCGCTCTTGCGAAACATTACAGAAACCATGGGCTTTGCAAGATTTCCAAGACATGCTACCAAACGGGCTTCGCGCGCGCATGTCGAAATCTTTCGAACGCCCTTGCGCGCGTGCCGTCGCGAGAATCCTCTGCAAACAATACGGCGAAGTGCGCACGCGCGCGGCGTCGCGCGCGCATGCCGAAATTGTTCAAATACCTTCAATTTCAGAAGGATTTCAAAATCGAGTGTCCAACAAACATACACAAACACAGAGTTTCGCGACACGGATTTTCAACAAAAGCGTGCGCGCGCGCTCTTGCGTCGTCGTCGTCGTCGCCGTCCTCCCTCCTCCCTCGTCGTCGACGTCGTCGTCGTCGTCGTCGCCGTCGTCGTCCTCTGTCCTTCGTCGTCGTCGTCGTCGTCGTCGTCGTCGTCTTGGCGTCGTCGTCGTCGTTTCCGTCGTCGGCGTTTGGTTGTTGTTCCTCCTATTTCGTCGCCGTCGTCGTCGTCGTCGTCGTCGTCGTCGTCGTCGTCGTCGTCCTCCCTCCTCCCTCGTCGTTGTCGTCGTCGGCGTCGCCGTTCTCCCTCCTTCTTCGTCGTTCGCGTCGTCGCCGTCCTCCCTCCTCCCTCGTCGTCGTCGTCGCCGTCGTCGTCCTCTGTCCTTCCTCGTCGTCGTCGTCGTCGTCGTCGTCGTCTTGGCGTCGTCGTCGTCGTTTCCGTCGTCGTTGTCGCCGTGGTCGTCCTTCCTCCCTCGTCGTCTTCGTCGGCGTTTCATCGTTGTTCCTCCTATTTCGTCGCCGTCGCCGTCGTCGTTGCCACCGTCGTCGTCCTCCCTCCTCCCTCGTCGTCGTCGTCTTCGTCGTCGTCGTCGTCGGCGTCGTCGTCGTCGTCGTCGGCGTCGTCGTCGTGGTTGGTGTTGTCGTCGTCGTCGTCGTCGTCGTCGTCGTCGTCGTCGTTGTCGGCGTCGTCGAAGTCATTGGAGACGTCCTGGGTGTCGTCATATTCGTCGGCGTCGGCGTCGTCGTCGTCGTCGTCGTTGTCGCTGTCGTCGTCGGCGTCGGTGTCGTTGCCAAGTGCCATTTGGTACCCACCGTCACGGTCTTAAGAGGTTTTGCAAACCAAGTTGCGGGTGGGTGGGTGGGATGTTTGCGCGAGCAGTGGAGTGGACAACTCACTGCGAACATAAATTAATTGCATCACATCGATTGCACAGCACATATTGCACCGCATATATTACCTTACACAGGTTGCATCGCATACGTTGCACCACATAGATTGCACCGCACAGACGGCAATAACCCTCTGTTTGGGGCCCACGCTGGCTAACAAATTCCTTTCCTCCTCCTGCTCCCTCCTCCTGCTGCTGCAGGCTGCCCGTCCTCCTCCGCTTCCTCCTCCGCTTCCTCCTCCTCCTCCTCCTCCTCCTCCTCCTCAAACACCTCCTCCTCGCATCCCTCCGTGTGCCTCATCCTTCACCTCTCCCGCTCCTGCCCCTTCTCTCCTTCCCTGCCGGACGGGGCGGAGGGAGAGCATGGCAGCGGGCGGGCAGGGCCGTTGCTTGCCGGCCCCGCCGCGAGGGCCCGGGGGCCGTGACCCGCGTCTGGTGCGTCGCCCTCTCGGCGGTGGACGCGGAGCCAAACGGGCAGTGAAGATGCAGCCAGACCTCCGAGGAGGAGAGGGCACCGATATCGCAGCGCGTCCCTCGTTTCGGGGGTGGCCGATGGGGGGGGTGATGATTTTTTTTCGGGGTGCATCACATGGCGGGGGGCATGATGCCTCCCCAGATGCCTTGGCCCCTCTTCGTGTGTCCATGCGTCCCTTGGCCCCCCCCCGGGGCCGCGCACGTGCCTCGGGTCATGATTTGGCCCCCCCCCCCCCGGGGCGACGCGCGCACCGAGAAATCTGATAGCATATGCGTCGCGGCGGGCGAATTCTCGCCACACCTCTTGGAAACGTAAGACTCGAGTATGCCGGGACTCGGGTTTGCGGAGGGTTTTTTGACGAGCGCGCCCTGGATTTTGAAGGTCCGGTTTTCGTGGGATGTTTGCAGCGGGAGACCGCGTCAAATTTCGAATTGGGTCTCGTCATTTTCATGTTTTCCCCCGTCAGGCCATTTCGAGTCCCCCGTACCCGAGTCTTACGTCTCCCCGAACACCGCTCGGGAAACGATATACTACAAGATGGGCATACTGTATGTTCGGGTCCGACGCGCGCCTCCAAGGAAGACATATAACTTTAAGGGTAGCTCCTTGGGAGATGTTACAGTATCGGGAGCATAGCTCGCGCGCCGTTGCCTTTGGCCCAAGGCACGCGCGCCCTATTTGCCCGGACACCGCGAGTGTTCGCTATGTGCTGGAAAGATCATTACATCGATCTTATCCTATCTTATTCATCCACCCCTCATACTGTACCTTCATAGCAGAGCGATGGATGCAATTTGCCAGGCTATATGCCATATTTGAGCTACCAGGCTCACTTTCGACTTGGTAGCGGAGCTGGCCGCACTCTCGTGTGGTCAGCTCTTGCTCTTCTTAGCCTCATATTCTTCGGCACGATCTTCGTGACTACCTACCACCCTGCGCCACCACTCCCAGTACGTTTACGAGGATCTATCCAAGAGCAAGAAGCAACACGAGAGGTACGACGTCTAGACGACCAGACTGGTACCGTATACGCTTCATCAGTGCGTTACCACCAACCGCTCGGCAACGAGCCAACAGCGCAATACTTGAAGCAGGGGCGGGGAGACCCGCCAGACAGAGCGCCTCGAAGACTCGACAAGGCGCTACCCCAGCGCGACAACGCGCATCATAACCGTCCTTCGTTACACATTCTCGGGCTAGTCGTTTTCGCTATTATATGGTTCGCGCTGGGGGCAGCAATCGGACACATGCGTCGTGGAGAAAACAGCACCGATGGGCAAACACATGGCCCATATTGGGACCCTCAAGGTAATGTACCTTTTCGTGAGTACATCTACGAGGTCAACGCATGGCTCAACGTTACAAGCGGACGTATGACGCCACAGGCCCAAGCGGCCGCAATACAACGCGGCCTAGGTGGCCTAGCGAGGACACTCGCCATGAGGGTACCGCCTGACATTATCAACTATGGTGCTGACATCGATGGGGTCCACACAGACCCAGTGACCTACATCATGTTCCTCCTAAGCATGAAGTTCGAACGCCTGGAAGATGAGCGACAGCTCACTTCCGGCACACAACTCATCGACTTCCACGTGCCTCACGGGGAACGAATCGATGTCACCCTTACCCGATTCGAAATGGCCCGACTTGAGGCACAATCGGTGGGATTCGACCTTCCCAACTTCCAACTGCTAACCACTATCCTATTCCGCGCCTTAGGCGTCGGCAACCAGCGAGCCATGCAACTCTTACAGCCACTCAATCACCAAATGCCCCGAACACAACAACAGTATGATGAGTTGCTGGAGAGGATGCGTTCGATAGGCCACCTATCCGAACGGTCTCCTGGTAACATAGGATCTGTGTTTGGAAGGGGAAGGGGATCTGGTAGTGGAAATTTCTACACTACCTTGACCACTGAAGCCCAGCCTGGAAACGGGCCCTCAAGCATATGGGCCGATGACCCAGGAGAATCCACTGCTTTATTAGCAGGGGATCGATCACAACCAAGCTGGGCAACCAGCCCTCCTTCTAGAGAACCACAACCACACCGTTCTTTGTGGGGGGAATCAAACCCCCTAACCGACGGTGTATCCACCTACTTGGGAGACGAGGATTTCGACTCCGGCACCGATACAGACACTATATCATCAGATGGTGTTGAAGCTTTAGATTGGTCAGATATTATGAATATGGATAACGACAATCAGCGTGCTGAGCATTTGTTCTGGTTATTACAACAGGCTAAACGAAGGTGGAGGAGGTTCACACGAAAACCAGTGCGTCGTGTTAGAAGGAGGATACGTAGAAGTTTTAAAGGAAAGGGTAAAGGCAAGCGAGGTCGTCGGAGGTTGAACGGACGAGGTATCGCGGCATTTCTCCAGAGGCTCTCAGATGAACAACATGATGAGATATTCTTTGGGGGAAAAGGCCGTGGTAAAGGCCGTAGAGAGACCTCAGGTAAAGGCAAAGGTAGGCGGGGAAACCCGCGAGGTAGAGACGGCCAGGTTCTCAAATGCCATGAATGTGGTAGTTCCGATCATCTTGTGCGAGATTGTCCAGTGAAGGGAAATGGAAAGGGCAGGTCGACCGAAGTCCATTATGGCTCAAGTGAACCATCCATTGAATATCTGAGCCTCCAGGACTTTGAGGCTATGGAGCAGATATGTTTCACTTGGGTTGTTGGCGTGGACAACGTCGACGAGCTCGAAGCGTATGGTCATGGATTGTACGCGTACTACCTCGAGTACGTCCGCCGGTTCGTTATGGGCAGTAACGAGCTTACTCCCGTGGAACACGGTACGCTGGGAAACCAGCCTCTTTCTTTCTACGACTGGATGTTCGGGAACCCAGGCAACATCATGGCCTACGAGAGCGACGACGAGGACACCACTATAGAGGCTTCGCCTTCCGAGGTTCAACGGAACCTCGAACCTCCGCCCGAAATCCCGCCTGGAAACAGGCCGTCTCTGATGGGAGAATATCCCCAGACCACTGGAGACTTAATTGAAATGGAGTCTCAGGCATTTGTTCAGGCCTTCATTGCAGGCGAACTAGATACTCCGTTCATACCTCCTGGTTCGCTTGCTCCAGGCGAATATGGACCACGCACCCTTTTGCAGACCCTCATGAGGATGCATGAGATACTTATAACTGGTTATCCTGAGAGTCAAGAACATATCGAAGCTGACATTATGACAGAACAGGATACTGATGCTTGCGGTAGCTCAGAGCGGTTGTTGGCAGCTCTGACTCTCATTGACAGCGTGCATCCTCAGGACGTGCAGAGACACTTGATATACTCCCGTGGTAGATGGCGTAATGCTGTAGAAATGGCTATTGCTATGCGCGGTCATGATCTTCCTCCGCCAGGATGGGGTCTCCAGGCGGTGGGAATGAGGCCAAACCATACGGCCATGCGTAACATTGCTGGGCAGCCTGTGCTCGGCAACGAGCCTGAGCCGACAACAGTGCCTCCTACTCCGGGACAGCCGAGCGACGCACAGACGCCGGCTATGCAGGGAAACCTGCCTGTACCAGATACGCCAATGGCCATCATCATCGGTAGTTCGACATCAGAAGAAGTAGAAGGCGATGGTTGCGGGTTAGATGAGGATGACGTCACCATCCTCATGATGGACGTGAATGGTGAGGAAGAGGTTGACTTCGATCCTGATGAGTCTGAATCATCATCACCATCGGCACAAGCGCCATTTGCGCCGAGCTCCACCCAGCAGGGAGACCTGCCTCCATCGGACGATCCATCTGGGATCGCACAGGAGCCTCCTCAGGCACCTCCACCGGGTGCCGCTCCTGCTGCTTCGGCAGCTTCCTCTGATGAGAACACCAGAAGATCTCGTTCCCATACGCGCGTCAGAGAAGAGCCACATCCACAGGCTCGACTTCCTCGTGAGTGGAGGCAGGCTGGCCCAAAAGAACACGCTCTCAGGAGAGGTGGCCAGCTACTTCCGTACAACGACCCAAGACGCCGAAAAGGGGAACACTCGGCCTTCGGCAAGGGCAACCCTGCCTATAGGGACAGTGATGGCAAGGCCATCCGCGGAGGCTATCAGCTTGCAACAAATATCCGCCGCCCTGAAATTCAAGAAGCGCGGACTCAGTTGCGAGATATTATCGCGGCGCGCAAGCAGTATAGGCCTCACGCAGCATGCGGACCTTGTTCCCAGCCGTTCCAGAACCACAGGCCAGGATGCCCCGTTGGCAACAACGAAGGCCTGAGCCCCAACAGGGGCAAAACCCCTCATAAAGAGGGTCATCCGCAACTTATCCCGATGACACAGGAAGAAATTGCAGAAGTGAATCGTCGTCTCGGGATCTTGAGCCACTTGGATCCGAAAGAAGAGGAAAAGCCTACCCCGGTTCCAAGGGGGCTGGTAGCCATGACCTAGGAAGAGAAAGACGCGCTCTTCAGTCTTCCTAGTATGCGAGGAAACTCGCCTGGCGTCTCTAGCCAGTCCCAACAACCAGAACCGACAATCAAGGATGAGATAAAGGCTCAACGTGTGGCGGAGGATGAGGAGCGTATGCGGACAGCAGAAGACCGCACTCGCGAGGCAACTCGCAAGATGTTGGAGGATTCTAGTAAGATCTACATGAAGAGGGCTACGAGGCCCCCACTCCCACTAACTTCGAAGGCCAAGAGTGAACCCCCGACACCTAAGACGTCCTCGGTGCCGAAACCGAAGACGAGCCCTCAGGACCCTGGGCCAGACGTGCAGATGGAGGTGCCTCGAACTGAAACTCCGAGGCCGCCGATTGGCACAACTCCTACACAAGCGTCTGTGCCCAAGCAGCAACCTCAGGACCCTATGGAGGAACGAAGACGCCCGCCTAGTCGCAGCAGCTCCATTGCGAAAAAGGCGGCAGCTTTCGAGCGCAGTGGGTATGCACCTGCGCCAGCTTCGCCTGTGGCGGCTCGTTCCAGGAGGTCCGATGAAGGTGCTATGTCGAGGGGT